AAGTACATAGGAGTTAAATCAAAAGGACTTGGCAATTGATTAGATGGGGTGAAGAGGGCATGAGTCCCAGGGTCTGGCTTTGGTGTCTGGGAAGATAGTATTGCTACCAACTGAGATAGAGCAGGTTTAGAGAGCGATGATTGAGTTTAGTTTAGGACTTATGTTGGAAGTGCCTATGGGACATCTGGTGTCAGCCAATGATTGGCTATATGATTCTGAAGTGTGAACTAAATTAAAATCTTAAAACTTCTCCCCCCCTCAACTGGCTGACTAAATGGACCCCCTCCTAGTCAAGGGGATACCCTAAAACTGAGTTGCAGGCCTTGAGAGGGAGGTCAGACATGCCTCATCATGCCTCCCTCCCTTCTTGTAGATATCCTTTGTAACTCAGTGATAGGCCTAGGGCTATGCAAGACAAACCTGCAGGTCTTCAATTTACACAACAAATATATGGCCATGGCTGGGTAGCTTGTCTCTGATTAACAGACTTCCTTTTCTTAATTTAAAACAGTCCAAGAGTCTTTAAACCCACCTATAACCTGGAAGCATCCCCCACTTTGAGATTGCCCACCTTTTCAGGCCAAACCAATGTATGCCTTCCATGTATTGATTTATGACTTTACCTGTAACCCCTGTCTCCCTGAAATGTAAAACCAAACTGTAACCCAATCACAGCGAGTCTACTTGCTCAAGGATTCCTGGACGTGGCTCTCAGTCATGGTCCTCAAATTTGGCTCAGAATAAACTTCTTTAAATTATTTTACAGAGTTTGGCTTCTTTTCTGTTGACAGAAGTTCAGGGGAGAAGGCGAGCTGAAAGCAGAAACTGGGAAGTCCTCAGCAAAGAGACAATACTGAAACCAGGAGATGGATGAGCTCTCTAGAGAGGGGTCCAAAGAAAAGGAACCCAAGGAAGAGACAAAGGACCAGCCAGGGAAGTATGAGGAACCAGGAAAGTGAGGCAACGTGGAAGCCAAGTGAGGGTTTCTAGGAGGAAGAAGTGATCAAAATGTCAAATGCAGCAAGAAAGGTCCAACTACACAAAGGCTGAAAGATGGCGGTTGATTTGGGCAATGGTAAGGTCATGACATTAATCATGACATTAGGCTGGCATCACACAGGCTCATTCAGACATCAGCCCCATTTATTTAAATGGCAAACACTCGGCTAGCATGAGTCCTCAGCACCCTCTCAGATGCTCGCCACAGTCATTCTCACATCCCCTGCACTCCTTCAGAGTTTAAACCATTCATTCAAATTCTGCCCCAACTCACTCAGAAATTACAGGCACACATTTGGATGCTCCCCATGCTCATCGCTTGGGGTCCTTTATACTTGCCAATGTCACCTCGGAGCCAGCCAGAGCCAGTGCAGCTCTGTCTTTGTAGAGGTAACTGCAGGTGCCCACAGGGATTAAATGGGTTATATTGTGGTTTTTATCTCCCAGAAGTGAAAACCAACTTTGTTTTTCTCTATCTCCTGAAGACTTTGGTTTGAGGAAAAGTATGGAAGGAAGACAGATTAGATGTCTGGGCTCAAGATTTGAATTGGGATGCTGGCTGAAAGATGTTCTGGGATGATCAAAGCCCTGGGTCTTAAATATTATAATAGTCTCTGGTCAAGGTCCAATCTACAAAGTGTGATCTAGGCTTCTGGACTTAAAATAGATTAGACACAGATAGAGGAGAGTAGCAAAGGCTGAACTGATGAAAGATGTTTTTGCCTCTCTAGGTTTGCGCTTCTCAGCAGCTCTGTCTCAGAAAGTCTGCCTCCTAGCATCTTTCTTAGTGGCTCTCCACATCCATGTCTCCGTGATTCTGTCTGGCATCTCTGTTCCTCAATCTCGGCCTCAACATATTTCTTTCTATGTGCCTCTCTGCATCTCAGAATCTCCATCTTTGGACCTTGTTGTCTGAGAGTTCTACAATTTGGTTCTCTGTCCCCTCCTTTTTCTGTCTCTGTACTATAATTATCTTTCTGCAACTGGACTGTGCCCTCCTGGAAGACATGAACCTTTTATTATTCTTCTGGGTCTCCCCAGTGCCCTGCACAGAGTCTGGCATATAGGAGTCTCGGATACATTTATGAATATACTTGAATGTAGGCTTTTTCTGAGGAGAAAGGGACTCACCGTCCACTTCCAGACTCCCTGCCCCCATGCGCAGCTGGCCACTTGCCAAAAGGCCAGCTAGAGAGTAGGGCGGAGGGTGTGGTGGTATTGTGCTGCTGCTATTGGGTTCTTTCCGCAGATGAAATCCCTGAGGACACCTTATCACGAATTCGCCCCTTGGCTGAGGGACAGAAGCAGCAGGACACGCCCCTACGCCCTGCGCAGCAGACGCCCGCCCGTCGGACCCGCCCCGCGCCTTGGCCAATCAGCGGGCGCCCGCGTAGCCTTCCAGTGAGAAGGTGGGTGCAAGATGGCTGCGGCGTGTCGGAGCGTGAAGGTACGTGGCTACTTGCCTCTGCTGCCTGCCCTGCTTGTTGCACAGGCTGGGACAGCACGGCCGTGGAACTAGGGGGAAGAGATCGGTGCGGGGAGAAATTTTGCTTATCTAGCCCTGATATTTCGACGGTTGGGCGCGGGAGGTGAAAGTCAACACTCCGCGGCACGTGTATGTGGGGTAACCGAACGGGCTGTCTGTGGGTGAGACGCCCCTCCAGAAGTCCCATCCGTGAGGAGAGGAGGCACACCTGAGTCACACTGCAGAGGTGACCAGGAACACCCCCCCACACACCCCCTTCGCAGAAGCCTGGAGAACAGGCAGGTGAAAGGGTGTGGGTGGTCTGGACGGTGTAACGGCCGTGTCTCTCTTCACAGGGCTTGGTCGCAGTAATAACCGGAGGAGCCTCAGGCCTGGGCCTGGCCACAGCGGAGCGACTGGTGAGGCAGGGGGCAGCTGCTGTGCTTCTGGACCTGCCCAGCTCGGGTGGGGAGGCCCAAGCCCAGAAGTTAGGAAAGAGCTGCGTCTTCGCCCCAGCCGATGTAAGTGGGGTCACCTCTCCTCTCTCAGGGTGTGCAATCAGGGTGTGCAATCAGGGTATGCATGAGGTTACCAACACCAGCCTGGGAAGCCGTGGGGGCCCTTCCATAAGTTTGTCTTCTGTTGGGGTGGTGGACCCACCTTGTCCCTTTTGCCCTGAGCCTTCAAGCACTGTGGAAACACCTGTGATAAGGATTGTCTGAAGCCAGGACTCACAACAATAAGGATGGAGATTGGATATAACAGAATCTCCTGGAGGGGATATAGATGGTTTGAAAATGCATATTGTGCCCTATAATTTTATATTTACAAAGCCAAAAAGCTTTTTATGAAACAAACTATAGAAAGTAAAGTTTGATTAAATCATCTTAGGAGGTAGGGATGCAAAAAAGCTAGTTTATTTTCCTATCAATAATTCTCACAAGGTTGTATTAGTGCTCTGATCCACAGCCACTGAGAATCTCCAGGGGCACGTGAATCTATCAAAAGAGGGTATTGATTTGAAAAATGTTTTGCAACACCACTCTATAGTACGTAACATTTTCACTTTTGCTCCACTCTCCTCTCTCAAGTTTTGCCACAACCCTTTCTCTTGGCCTCTTCCCTGCTCTCACTCAAGGACTGGGCCAGGTCTGCCCTCCCCTCCCCCAGTTTTAGAAGTGAGAGTGTGTGCTGGGAGATTAATACCTTCTTTACTTCTCCCTTTGAAGGTGACCTCTGAGAAGGACGTGCAAGCAGCCCTGACTCTAGCAAAAGAAAAATTTGGCCGCGTGGATGTGGCTGTCAACTGTGCAGGTATTGCAGTGGCCATCAAGACATACAACTTAAAGAAGAGCCAAGCCCATTCCTTGGAGGACTTCCAGCGAGTTCTCAATGTAAGTAAGGCCTTGGAGGTTCTCCAGGGGTAGGAGTAAGAGGTGTCTGGCTGTGGGTGCCCCCAAAGCTTTTAGGGGACAGAAAGCTGCCTCTGCCTCAGGTCCTACACCATGTCTGTACCTGTCCTCCAGGTGAATCTCATGGGTACCTTCAATGTGATCCGCCTAGTGGCTGGTGAGATGGGCCAGAATGAACCCGATCAGGGAGGCCAACGTGGGGTCATCATCAACACCGCCAGCGTGGCTGCCTTCGACGGCCAGGTGTGTAGGCAGGAACAAAGCTTGTGCCTCCTCAGTGACTTGTTGGGGTCCTCCCACCTATGATCTCCACTCCTTCTCCAGGTTGGACAAGCTGCATACTCTGCTTCCAAGGGGGGCATAGTGGGCATGACACTGCCTATTGCTCGGGATCTGGCTCCCATAGGCATTCGGGTGATGACCATTGCTCCAGGTAGACATATCCCCTTTTCCCTGTTACACCTGGTATTGGGCGGGATCTGTGGGCAATTGAGAAGGGAAAGTATCCACTGCCTAAGCACGAGCAGCCTTTCACCTCTGGGCCCCAGGGAAGCACCAAGAAGTAGGGCTAAAGTGAAGGACTGGGTAAATATGAAAGCAAGGGTGGGTCTCTGACTGTGGCTGTCTTGTCTAGGCCTATTTGGCACCCCTCTGCTGACCACCCTCCCAGAAAAGGTACGCAACTTCTTGGCCAGCCAGGTTCCCTTCCCCAGCCGACTGGGTGACCCTGCTGAGTATGCTCACCTGGTACAGGCCATCATCGAGAACCCATTCCTCAATGGAGAGGTCATCCGGCTGGATGGGGCCATCCGCTTGCAACCTTGAAGGTAGAAGGCAGAGAAAACACGCTCCTCTGCCCTACCTTCCTCTGGGGTACTACTCTCCAGCTCAGGAGGAAGCCTAGTAGCCATTTTGTAACTGTTCACCAGTCACCCTCTGTGCCTAATAAAGTCTCTATTTCTCACAGCGTGTCAGCAGTGTTGCGTGCTGGGGTACCTGGCATGGGGAAAAAAGGTGAAGTCCCTGACAGGGTTGGATGCTCAGAGCCCTGGGGTGGAGTGGGAAAGCCAGTACCTCACACTCTTTGTGTCCAGTTACAACACATGGCCTTGATTTTGGCGAATAACTTTATTACGTAGGGTAGAAGGTGGGGGTACGTAGCATTTTCCTCTTTGACTTCTAGCCATCTGTGAGCTTGATGGGGGAAAAGGGAGAGAGAACCATCCTGAAGCTCAGCGGCTACTGGTGTTGAACTGTTGGTAATATTGGGCTGTAGGCTGATTGGTGTAGATTATTGAATTCAGATAATTCTGCCTGTGAAAGAAATCCAGAGGCCTCAGCTGATGTGCTTTCCCTCTCTCCCTGGTCCTTGCTATCCTTCCCCACCCTCCCTTGGCATTCATCCCCACTATGACCCCCTAGAACTCACTGGGCTTTTTGCTCCTTAGCCAGCTGCTGGTTGAAGGAGCCTAGCCCCCTCCGAAATTCAGCACACAATTCCCTCTCCTGCTCTTCTAGCTCCTGCGCTGCCTGGGCTGCGAGCAGGGTCTGGCTTTCCCATTCGGTATCCAGTGCTTGTTCTGCCTGGTGCTGTGCCTCCTTCTCAAGGCGTTGCACCTCCTGGACTTTCCTGATGGCAGCTAGTTGCTCTGGAGTCATGCCCTTCCAGCAATAGGGCAGGACCCGGTGGGGAGCCATAGGATGTTGGGCAACCTGAGGGTTCTCAGTCAGCAGGTCACTCTTGATCTGGTTCTGGATCTCCGTGAGGTTGGCTGCCTGTTCACGCTCATGTTCACGGCGCTGCCGCTCAGCCAGCTCAGCTGCCTGGTGGGACCCCCAAATATAAGTATTTGGCTGCCCAACCTCAGGGAACTCTCCTTTGAGGGGGAGGGGGGACCATGGCCCTACTCCTCCATCTCAGGGAGAGAAAGAACAGACACTATATGGCCTTTTAATGACTGTAAGCTGGAGGAGGGGTGGGATGGGCAGGGAACTTTACCCTCAGGAAGCCCTTAGACTGAGAGGCTGGGGATGAGAGGGCAATGCTCTGTTTCCAAGTCATCCCATGTCTGGAGGTAGGGAAAGGTAACTTGTACCCTAAGAGGGACCTTAGGTGAAGGGGGAGTCCTCAGGTAGATGAGAGGGCTGGTGCTGACTTGAGAAGGGAATGTGAGAGGAATGATGTGGCTGAGGTTCCCCAGGACCTTGTTCAGGGGTTGGAGAGAGCCTGGTGTACTGGATGGCTCAGGCCCTACCTGGGCTTTGTTGACGTTGACCATGGTAGACATCATGGCTATGCAACAGGACTCCTCCAGCTTGGCCAGCTGGGTGGCCTGCATGTCCATGGCTAGGCACAGCTGGTCATTGAGCATATCTACACAAAGAAATATGGCTCGGGCACTATACTGGCTTGCTCCATTCCTGGTTCATTCATTCAGCCATTTGTTCAACAAGCTTTGTGTATGTGTGTGTATGTTTAAGAGGGGGGTAGTGTCTTAATTGTAGGGATGTAGAAGGAGCTACTCTTTGCAGCTAGGGATAGCCAAAGTACAACAACAAGGATTTCTCAAGTGCCTAATTGAAAGGAGCCTCCAATAGACCTAGGTCCCAATGTCAGCTCTGCCACTTCTGAGCTGTGTGGACTTAGGTAAATAATTTCATATCCCTGAGCCTCAGTCTAAGGGCCATGTGCTGGGTTCTAAGGATACCATGGGATTAGGTCCTGTCTTCAGAGAACTCCCTCTCTAGTGGGGGAGACAGATCAAACAGATAATTTGACCACAATCTGGCAAGAGCAATGGCAGAGATGTGTACAGGGCATTATGAGGGCTTTGGGTGGTGGATGGGAGGAAGGCTTCTAGGAGGAGGTGATCCTTGAAATACATTTTGTATATAGGCTAAAAGAGCAAAGAGCATTCCAAGCTGAGGGCACAGCACAAGCAAAGGTACTGACGTTTTTTTCCACTCCAGCCACACTGAGCTTGTTTTTCCTAGGACATGTCAGACATTGTGACAGACAATGTACTAGGCAATTGCAAGATGGGGTGGACATGAAAGAGATGGTTCATCTTCAGTGAGCTGATATTTTGGGGAGAAGACAGACATTAAATACTTTCATAATTATGTTCAACTATAGTAAGTGGTGTAACAGAACAGGGTGTTATAACAGTTGATTTGAAAGGTGAACAGTGCAAGTAGATGAGACATGGTCCTTGTCCTTGAAGGGCTTCCTCTAATGGAAGAGAAGGATGTGGTCACAGACAAAATCATAATAATAGTAGCTACTCTATGTGGTATGGATTATTATCTCCATTTTAAAGATGAAGAAACTGAAGCACAGAGGAAAACTCATTTGCCCAAACCAGCTAGTAAGCAGCAGAGCTGTTAGATGTGTCTGTACTGTGCTGCCTCCAGGTTAATCAGGAACAAAGGCTACACTGTCAAGTTAACTGAAGGAAGTCAGGGAGGTTGGGGTCTGTACAGCCTAACCTTTCAGCATCAGCCCTATGGGTAATTGGACCTCCCCACACAGTTCTGGTCTCCTGGCTGCTATACCGAACTCAGGGCAGCTCCCCACTAGGCCTCAGGTTTCTAAGCCTGGAGGGCTGGGCTGCTTACCTGCATACTTCTCATCAACCCTGGCTTGCTGTTGCTCCTGTTGCTGCCTTTCCAGGCTATACCTGAACTGCTCCTGCTGCATTCTCAGGCATGTGGCCCTGTCTAGGTCCTCCCCAGAGAAGCACTGAAGGCTGGCTGGGCCATAGTAAGGATCACTGTTACTGAGATCGGCTGGAAACTCCTTCCAGAGTTGGTCTGGATCCCAAAGATCAAATTCATGCCTGTTCTTGAGCCGCTGCTTCTGCTCCCGAAACTCCTGGAGTTTCCTGGCCAGCCGGCGTGTCCGTTCTGCCTGTTCCTCCTCTAGCATCTGGGCTACCAGGTCATACTGCACCTGGTTGGCACCTGGGGGTGGTAGGCAGGGACATGGAGATGGTACCACAGAAGGGACAGAGCCCACTTAACATGGCCTTGGCTCTCAAAGTCTACCAGTTTGTCCCACCTCCCCAGGGCCTCGGGCCCCACTCAGAAGCAGAACTGCCCTACCTCATCCCACTTAGGCTCTCACTTTACCCCCTTGGCCCCTGGCCTTGGACTTTTACCATAAGCTGCCTCGATGCTCCGCTCTGTTGCCTCCCGAAGCTTTCGCTCTTCCACCTGTTTGTTCAGGGCTTCGACATCCACCTGATCCCAAAGAAAGGCGCTAAGTCAGGGTAAGGGCCCAACAAGGGGCCTTGAATGCTCTAACACAAACTGCTTAGAATTTACCCACTTCGAAATTCTCCTATAGCTCCCCAGTACCTACTGGATAAATTTCCAACCCCTCAGCATGGTTTGTATGCCGCTCCATGGTCTAGCCTCTGCTTCCAATTCATCAAGACCAGCTCAGGCATGTTTTACTTGCATAGAATCTAGGACCCATTGTCCACTTTATATTGAAGTTTGCCTGTCTCTATTTTCTCTTCCACCAGACTGAGCCCTTTCAGGCCAAAGACTGGGCCTTAGTCATGCATGTATCCCCACTGCCCAACACAGTGCTTGGCACAGAGCAGGACCCCAAGGGAACACTTGGCCACGTGCATCTCAATCAGACCACTCACCTTGGCCAATTATGTCGGGCACTATGCTCTGGTTTTCAGAGCTGCCACTGTATGTTAATATGTACCTCATCATTTCCTTTATTTAGCCTCGTTTTACAGAGGAGGAACCTAGAGCTCAGAAAAAACAGGTGACTTATCCAAAGCCACACATTTAACAATCGGCAGACCTGGCCTTGAACAGGTATGGTGTTTTTTCCAGAATACCATGCTGCATTCCCCCTCTATTCACCTACCCAGCAATCTTTCTTGTTTGTTTCTTAAAACTATCAATATTTTCTCTTTATTTTGATTATAATTCATTTAAAACATTTCAAAATAGTACAAAAGGGAATATAGTTTAGTGAGGACTAAGTGTCCCTTCCATCTCTGTCCCTCCACCTGGTTAACAGTTTCTTATGTAGCCTTGCAGAGATAGTTTAGGTACATGTAATACCAAATATTCTTTAGGCTTCTTCTGGCTCCATGTTGCCTGTCTCTCAAGAGCCAGGCCACATGGTCTAGAGCTGACCAGAGAAGAGCGAGCTGTCACCCCGAGTCTCTTCCCCTGCACCACTTCATCCCTCTTCTTGAGCCCTTCTCAGGCCTGTGAGGGTGGGAGCCTTCTTTCCCTCCCCTTCCTTTCCAGCTGTAGGGCCTGCTTGAATTAGGGGAAGGGCTATAACAGCCACTGCTACATTCCTCTCCAGGTGTAACAGTGAGGTAGCCCTGGTCCTGAGCGATAGTCCTCACTGCCCACTCACCCCCATGACTCGGTTCTGCACATTGAAGAATCGTCTTTGTCGCTCCATTTCTCGATTTCTTCTAGCCTCGATGGCTGCTGCCTCCTTGGGATCTAATGACAGGTCCACCCTATACATCTGGAGCAAAGGGGGAGGTAGAAATGACCCATCAGTGCCAACCACCATCTTTTTTTTTTTTTTCCTTGAGATAGAGTCTTGCCCTGTCGCCTAGGCTAGAGTGCTGTGGCGTCAACCTAGCTCACAGCAACCTCAAACTCCTGGGCTCAAGAGATCCTCCTGCCTCAGCCTCTGGAGTAGCTGGGACTACAGGTGCATGCCACCATGCCCAGCTAATTTTTTCTATTTTTTTAGTTGCCCGGCTAATTTTTTTTCTATTTTTTAGTAGTCGGGGTCTCGCTCTTACTCAGGCTGGTCTCGAACACCTGAGCTCAAGCAATCCTCCCGCCTCGGACTCCCAGAGTGCTAGGATTACAGGCATGAGCCACCACGCCTGGCCACAACCACCATCCTTGACTATACCCCTTCCCTCTTTCTCCCTACAATATCTCACCAGTTATTGATTCCTACTGACTTTAATTCCTGATATTTCAGGACACAGATATTTCATCTCTGTGTCCTCCATCTCTGCTATCACCACCTTAATTCGGGCCTCACATTCTGGTGTCAGGCAATATTCCCAGGAGCCTCACTGGGCTCCCTTGCTCCAGTGTTAGCCAGCCTGCACTGGCTACCAGAGTGATCTTTCTGGAAGCAAATGTGACCATGGCGCTCCTCAGCTTAAAACCTTTGAAAGCAGCTTTAAAGCAAATGGCTTGCCAGTGCTTACAAGATAAGGTCCAACCTCCTTTGCCAGATTTATAAGGTTCTTCATGATCTGACCCCCTGCTCACCTTTCTAAGCCTCAAATGCATTTACAACACCCCCCCCCCTTTTTCGTTATGCTCTACTCAAGTTTTATTCATTTCAGTAAATGGCACTACCATTCACCAACCTGCTCAGGCCAAATACCCAGAAGGCATCCTTTAATCCTTCCTTTCCCTTACTCCTTCTTCTTTCAAAATAACCCTGGTCCAAGCCACCATTGCCACCTCCCTGAATGACCACAATAGTCTCCACAATGGTCTTCCAGCTTCCTCTGTTGTCTCCTATAGCCTACTCCATCACACAAAAACCAGAAGCAGCTTTCTTTTCTGAAATAAATGTTCCCCTTTATTTTCTAGTCAAATGAAAGGCTAGATGGCTTAAATTTGCCTGTGTTCCTTTTATATTTTGGGAAGCCCACTTTTGGCATGTGACCCAGCCAAAGCTGAAGCCAAAATAACTTCTGCAAACATAAATATGATCATGTCTCTCACCTGCTTAAAAGCCTCCACTGGCTTCCCACTGTACTTAGAATCAGATCCAAATTCCTTACCAAAGGCTTTCAAGATCCAATTCCTGCACACCTCTCCAAATTATCTCATATCACTGTCTCCCTTGCTTACTGTGCTCCAGGCACAATGGCTAAATTTTTTTAAACCACCCATAACTTACTCTGCTGAGGTAACCACTGTATACATTTTAGTACATTTCCTTCTAATAATGTTTTATATGGTTGTGCTTATAGTCTATACACAATTTTGTATCTGGTCTTTGTCCCAGCAAATGTTCTATCCAAGTTCAAGGTTGCGCTCAGTTGGCTTGCTGGCTCTACTCTGATGGGCATTGGCTAGCCCTGGGTCAGTCCCCTGGGTCTTGCACAAGCCACAGCAGGGTGAGTTCCCAAATGTTGGCCCAGGAAGGCTTTGATCCCTCCTGCCTACTGAGTTCAGAAGAGGCTGGCAAGGCTGAGGCTGGCAAGGCTCCGGCTGCCAGAGAAAGAAGAGCCCTCCTATTTGTTGGTCCTGCCTGTCGGACGAGCTCAAGACTAGTTGGCATCAGCTGGGTGCAGTGGCTCACGCCTGTAATCCTAGCACTCTGGGTCGGAGGATTGCTTGAGCTCAGGAGTTCAAGACCAGCCTGAGCAAGAGCGAGATTCCGTCTCTATTTAAAAAAAAAAAAAAAAAAAGACTAGTTGGCATCAAAGAGAGGAAGCACAGGCTGGGGGTAGGGAGTGGGGGGACACTGTGGACAATGGGAGAAGTGGGGACCTCATGGAGGCCAGAACATGGATCAGGGAGCTGAAGTGAAGGCTGGTTGTGGGAAGAGGGGTTTCCTCAGTGGGTGGCCCTGAGCCTGTCCTAACTGAATGTACAGTCTGAGCCCCAAGTAGGCCTTAGGGAGGGGTAGGGTGTAGGGGAGGTGAGCAATTGCAGGGACAAGACAGATTTTGCAGAGAAAGGAGCCTGTGAAAAGAGGCTGTGAAGAGCTGTGAGCGCCTGAGGGCTGCCCCTGAGAAGAGCTCCCAGGGAACTTTGGGGTGAAGTGGGGGAAGCCACCAGGCCCCAACTTCAGGTTGGACCCTGAAGCTGTTTGATATGGTAAATTTTATTATTGTTAAAAAATATGTGCTGCTCTTCCCTATGGATAGATCATACATCTCTATCTCATTGCCCTTGAGGTTAGCCATGTGATTTGCTTTGCCCCCTGAAATGTGAGGAGAATTGACATGTGCCACTCCCAGGAAGAACTAACAGCCATTAAATGATTGCCACTTTTTCTCTTAACTCTCTGCTATGAATGAGACTGGCAATGTCTCATTGGTAAGATCTGCTCCTTCAGCCTGGGTCCTGGAATGATGACATAGAGTAGAGATGCAGCCAGCCCACAATGGACAAGAAGCATAAGTGAGAAATAAAGCTTTTTCATAAGCTATTGAGATTTTTGGGTTGTTTGTAACCTCATCATAATTCAGCCTATCCTGACACAAAAGAATTTAAAGCTCTGAGACTGTATAAGATCTCTAAGGGAGTGAGTATATATGGATAAGAATGTCCCAGGTGAGACAAGGAGAGGAGGAGCCAGTATAGGAGGCTAAGGAGGAGTGGCCAGTGAGATGGGAGAAAAACCAGGAGAGTGTAATGTTCAAGAAGCCAAGTAAAGAAAGTGCTTTTGTACAGGCATGGTGGCATATGCCCATAGTATAGTTCCAGTTACTTGGGAGGCTGAGGCGGGAGGATCAACTGAACCCAGGAGTTCAAGGTTGTAGTGAGCTATGATGATGCCACAGCACTCTAGCCCAGGTGACAGAGCAAGACTTGGTCTCAAAAAAAAAAAAAAAGTGCTTTTGGGAGGAGAGACTGATCAACTGATGATGGATTAAGATGAAGATTGAGAACTGAATGATTTAGTAACATGAGGGTCGCTGAGGACCTCGACAAGATCATTTCTGGAGGAGTGTGGGGATGAAAGCCTGACTGAAGTAGGTTCAAGAGAGACTAGGACTGCAGGACAAACAACCCAGTTAATTTTTTTTAATTGCAAGAGAAAAAGACAGAGGAACCTATAGATTAAAAGAGATTTATATACATAGGTGGGAAAGTTTTTCTAGTATATACCTAGGAATGGAAGTGCTGGATCATAGAGTATATGCATATTTAATTTTACAAGATAATGCTAAGTTGTTTTCCAAGGAGATTGCAACAATTTACACTTTCACATAGCGTATAAAAATTCCAGTCACTCCATATCCTCACCAACATTTGGTATTGCAGACTTTTAAATTTTTGCCAATTTGTGGGTATAAACTTATAATTACTGATTTTAATTGGAATTTCCCTCATTACCAATGAGTTTTCATATCTTTTCATGTGTTTCTTGACCCTTTCTGTTTACTTCTCTGTGGAGTGCCTATTCATATCTTTTGTTCACCTTTTAAAAAAATTTGGTTTGTCTTTTCAAAATTAATTTTAGGAGTTCCTTACATATTCCACACACTAATCATTTCTTAGTTTATGTATTTATTTTTGAGACAGGGTCTCGGCTAGAGTGCAGTGGCATCATCATAGCTCACTGCAACCTCAAACTCCTGGGCTCAAGTGATCCTCCTGCCCCAGTCCCAGTTGGGACTACAGGTACACACGACCACACCTGGCTAATTTTTTCTATTTTTTGTACAGATGGGATCTCACTGTATTGCCCAGGCTGGTCTTGAACTCCTGACCTCAAGTGATCCTCCTGTCTTGTCCTCCCAAAATTCTGGGATTACAGGTGTGACCTACCATGCCTGGCCCTCATTTTTTTTTTTTTTTTGAGACAGAGTCTCATTGTGTTGCCCTGAGTGGAGTGCGATGGCATCAGCCTAGCTCACATCAACCTCAAACTCCTGGGCTCAAGCGATCCTCTGCCTCAGCCTCCCAAGTAGCTGGAACTACAGGCGCGCACCACGACGCCCGGCTAATTTTTGTATTTTTAGTAGAGATGAGGTCTCACTCTTGCTCAGGTTGGTCTGGAACTCCTGACTTCTACAGATCCTTCTGCCTCGGCCTCCCAGAGTGCTAGGATTACAGGCGTGAGCTACCGTGCCTGGCCCCTCATTTCTTTTTCTTTTTTATTTTATTTTTATTTATTTATTTATTTTTCCACAAGACCTGAAGATGTAGATGCACCTCATTTCTTAAATGTGGCAAATATTTTCTCCAGATTTGTGATTTGTTTTTTCACTTGATTATTGTTTTAAAATAATTTTTAAGGCAACAATTGATACATGCAAAGGAATATGGTTAATACACATGTAAGTTATGAAGCACAATAAGAAATGAACACTTTCAACCCCTTCACAGAACTCAGAAAATAGAACATTATTCATATTTTAGAAGCTTTCTGTGTGCTGTGCACTTACCCATCTTTTCACTTTCTTTATATAGTGAATTATGGTGAATTTGAATAAAGTCCAATTTACCTGTCTTTTCCTTTGAGCTTAGTAGTTATTATTTAAAAAATCCCTCCCTATCCTGAAGTCATAAAGAAATTCTCCTATATATTCTTCTAAAATTTCTAAAGTTTTGCCTGTCTCATTTAACTTTTTTTTTCTTTTGTGACAGAGTCTCGCTCTGTTGCCCAGCCTAGCTCACAGCAACCTTAAACTCCTGGGCTCAAGCGATCCTCCTGCCTCAGCCTCCCTAGTAGCTGAGACTACAGGTGCTCGCCACCAAGCCCGGCTAATTTTTTTGTTTCTAATTTTAGTTGCCCAGCTAATTTTTTCTATTAATATTTTTAGTAAAGACAGGGTCTCACTCTTGCTCAGGCTGGTCTCGAACTCCTGACCTCAAGCTATCCTCCCGCCTCAGCCTCTCAGAGTGATAGGATTATAGGCATGAGCCATGTGAGCCACAGTGCCTGGCCTCATTTAACTTTTTAATCCACTTGTCATTGCATTGTCATTGCATTTCATATATGATGTGCCATAGGGATCCAATTTAATTCTCTTCCCCAAGCTCCATCTGACCTTTTAAAATGGAACAATAGTTCACTGTGAATTATATGAGATTGCTATCCTTTGGCCATGTTATTCCCTCAGCCTGATCCTGTTTCTCCCGATTGAATTTCACTTATAGCTCCTCTACTAGATTCTATCAACCAAGCTTTCTCACTTTCCTCGACTTGTCCTAAGTCTCTTCTCAGCCTTCAGATATAATTATTTTTCTTCTTTTTTGGCAGGCCCATGAGTCTTAATAGTCATAAGTTTTTAAATAGTTACAGGAATGGCTATGGCAACCACTAGATTCTCTCCATGTCTAACTCTGAGAATAGCACAAACCCCAGCCTACAGGTTCCAACTGCCACTATAAGGTCACTGAAGGGGAAAATTCAGCAGACATTTTAAGCTTCTTGGACTACTAAAGGCCTAGTAATGAGCAGGTATAAGGTGATAGTATGGGGATGAGGGGTGGAGGAGAGGGACAGAACAGGTAGGGAACAGAGTGGAGAGGAACAGTGGTGCAGAGGAGGAAGAGGAAGATAGGGCAACAAAGGGGTGAGGAGGTGGAGGACAGAGAGCAGAGAAGGAAGAGAAAGGGGGAAAAGAGGGAAGGTGGCAGAGGGGTATAGAGTGATGGGAATGAGATAAGGGCGATGCATGAAGAGAGACAGAGATGGAGAAGGGAGAAGGGAAGGATGGAGGTGGAGGGCACTGGCTTAGGGACCCTGACTCCTGGGAGTTCACACAAAATACCTTCCTCAGTTAGAAATCCTGATTTTGAAGCTCCTAGGTTGGATCTGGGTTCAAGTCTGTTCTTGGGTTACAGCGGCAGTTTCTGAACTCTGCTTGGAGGAACAGGAGAAAGGCAGGGGATAAGGGTAATAGCTCCGACCCCAGCCTGCCCCAGCCTGTATCCCTGTCACCTGGGAGTACTCCTGGGTCCATCCATACCCCATTCTCCTTCACATCCCATCTCGCTTCCAATCCCACCCCACCTTTAGCAAAGTCTGAGCTCATCTATTATAACACTGAATCCTCCCGCTGCCCCTCCTTCCCGCCCAGCCCTCCGCTCCCCGGGGTCCTTCCAATTCCCGACCCTGTCCTTGTCAGAGCCTTGTAGGCCGGCCAAGCTAAAGCCACAGCCAAGCTCCCACCTTCCTCTTGCCCTGAAGGGCATATCCCTGCTGTGACTTCAGACTCGTCTCAGCAAGCGTAAGCTCAGGTCCTGCCTGCCTCTTTGGAGCCCAAAAGCTGCTCTGAGCTCTCCCAACACCAAACGCCTCTACAACTTGGTCCGCTGTAGCGGTGGTTTGCTGTTGCCAAGCAATGAGAAAGGGGGCGGGGCCTAAACGCCTGCCGTAAACTCGCGCCCCGTAAACAGATCGACAGAACCCCTGCGCCAGACCGAAGTCCCCGCCCCTGATTCCCGTTGTGCCGGAAGCTGGAAATGCCGTTTGGCCTGGACGTATTCTCGCGAGGTTTGCCATCCGCCCGGCCTGCACTGCGGCGTTTCGCGCGCGGGATAGCTCAGTTCCCGGGCGCACGGCGCGGCCTTTCCTAGCGCCGCCGGCGCCGCCGCAGTCATGGGTTTCCTGAAACTGATTGAGATCGAGAACTTTAAATCGTACAAGGGTCGACAGATTATCGGACCATTTCAGAGGTTCACCGCCATCATTGGACCCAATGGCTCTGGTGAGATAAACCCGGCTTCGGCCCTGCGCCCGTCTCGGCCTGGACCCCCTATCCGGCGCCAGAGTAGTACAGTCCAGCCCATGCAACCTGAAACGTCGCGAACCCTTACGGGTTCCTTGCCCCTCCTGAGAGGGTTCGGCTCGAACCCGCTCTCCCTGTGCGGTCGCTCTAACGCAAACCTCTTCCAGGTGTCAGTTGCTCGTACTTTGCGCGACCCCTGTTCCAGCCACTTGGTACGGACCGAACTGTACGTTACGTCGCCCACTGCCCCCTCCCGCCAAAGGAGGCGCGTCCGAGCCGGCTGCCAGCCGGCTGCTGCCAGCCGTCAGCCAGCCGTCCGCCGCGCGGCTCCCCACCGGACCGCCTGGATCCGGCCTCCCAGCCTTGTTTGACCCCCTCCGGAAAATGTGGGACGGCTGCTAGTTCTCCTGTGGCCTCCGGTCCCAAACGGTACTCTGCTTCAGCCCAGCTCCCCCTCCCGCCTCGCATTGGTACGCTCCAATTTGTTCCTTTTTACTCTTCTCCCGAGGCGGCACTTTTGAATTTCGAACCCGGCGCTGGTGTCTTCAGAGTGCTTGCCGTCTCGATCCCCACCCTCAACCCCCACGTAAGAGGTAGTTGCCTCGTATTCGCCCTTTTCCTACCTCTGAAACCGTCAAAAGTCAGAACTCATTCGCTTAACAAATTGTTGAATGCTTATTGTTTATCAGTTGTTCTATTTCAAGTTGTGGAAACAGTGGAGAATAGAATAAGCCAAGTCTATGCTCACAGGGAACTTACATTTCAGAGGGAAAGAATATAAAGAAGGAGAAAATAAGATAATTTTAAGCTATCATAAATGCTATTCAGGAAATGAGACAGGTTGATGTGATAGAGTGACTTACTTTGGTGGTGTCTTTAGAATGGATGATCAGATAAAGCCTCTGTTTCATGTCTTAACTCTCCATCTCTAAATGATACACCGTGGATTGCTCTCATCTGCCCCCAGAAGTGGTCCATTTGGAATCCTGCTGTGTTCTTCCACCCCAGAAATGTTCTGTTAATAGCTGAATCATTTCCTATCCTAAGAGACTGCCCTTGCTGAGGTAGCTCAACCTGAGTACTTTCCCTGGAGTCGTACCCGGGTTTGGCTCTCTGATTAGAGCAGGGTTTCTCAACAGTGGCACTGTTAACATTTCCAGTGAGGTAATTCTTTGCCGTGGGATCTGTCCTGGGCATTGTAGGATGTTCAGCAGCATCCTTGGCTTCTACACACTAGATGACAGTAGTATCCCCACTCCCCAGGTATGACACTCAAAAATGTCTCCAGACATTACCAAAAGTCCGCGGAGGTGGAGCAAAATCGCTCCTCCCTCCCACTTCATTTGAGAACCACTAGCCTGGAGGGCTAATGCTTGGGGTCCACCCAGTTTCTTAGGGTTTTGGGGTAGTGGCCCCTGTGGAAACAGCCAGGATGCACCTCTTGGCATTCAGTCCCCTCCGCATTGGTAGATTTGTATACCCAGCTGTTCTTCAAGGCCCACCTCTACATGGCATTCCTTGATTCCCCTCAGTGAATTGCTCTTCTCTAGCGCACAGAAGACATTTAGTACACATTAATGTTTATTTTCTTCTGTTTTGTATTCATGGCATATGTTTTTGTATCTTCATCACTGGTCTATGAGTGTCCTAAAGAAGACATTCCTTGAAACATTTGTGTTCAGCCCAAAATATAAAAATGTTTACAATATTGAATGGTTGTGAGTAGAGAGGCCTGTGGTTGTGAGATATTCTTGTCATCCCTGGAGATCATAGTTCTCGAGAAGCCCAAAGGTTGGAAATTGATACCTAAAATCCTGGTCTGCAGGACGTGCTAGTCCTGCTGTGATGAGGGAGACAAGAGCTAAGAGTGTTAGGATAGGATAGGACTCATTTACCGAGCATTTACTGTGTATCAAGTACTTTATTTATTGGGACCCCTTACATTTACATTCTCACAATGACCCTATGAGGGAAATACCATTAGCTTTGTTTTATACATGAGGAAACTGAGGCATAGAGTTGTGATAACTTGTCCATGGTTCTCAGAGCCAGGATCAGAACCCATGCCTGTCATACTTCAAAGCTGGTGCTTCTGCCACTCCAACAGAGAATTACATGCCATGCATTTTTTTAGACTTATTAGTTGTAGTTTTTCATTTTTTCCAGGCAAGGGAATGAAAGCTCAATTAAGAAGAAGTAATGAAATTAAGATTGGAATCTGATCTGTTGGACTGGAGCCCAAGCTCTTAATCACAGTCTTATGTTGCCTCCATGGAAGGACTTGGACTTGGGCTGCTTTTTTTTTTTTTTTTTTTTT